CGGGCCGGGGATTCGAACCCACCACCTTAGGTGTACGTGGCTGGCGCCTTAGCCGGTTGAGCTATAGGCGCTGAGCCGACAAACTTTCTAGATGAAGGGATCAAATACATATTAGGAAGGGATCGATACGTTAGGAAGCGAGTTTTCCTAACAAATGCGGACAATGTAACCTAATCGTATATGCCCTTCTGTTAATCTAAAATTTAAAAAAGTACTTGTTCTTTGTTATATAGGTGGCTGGTTTTGTTTCAGATCTGCTATAACCATACTTTTTATCTAATTATGTTGATAATTAAAGTTTTAACATTTGGGGGAGGAGTTAAAATGTAATTTCCTGTTTGGAGCTATATTGATTTTTTTGAAATATTAACTTCATTATGATTAGACATAATCTACATACATGTAGCTTCAGGTAGTTACCAGCAATTCTTACTAGTTCTCACATATTATTTAGTTCACATTTATCAAGATAGGCCAGGCGTAGTAGCTCATGCTTGTCATCCCAGCAATTGGGAGGCCGAGGCAGGTGGCTTGCTTTGAGCTCAGGAATTCGAGACCAGAGTGAGACCCCATTGCTAAAAATAGCCAGTGTTGTGGCAGGTGCCTGTAGTCCCAGCTACTTGTGAGGCTGAGGCAAGAGAATTGCTTAAGCCCAAGAGTTTGAGGTTGCTGTGAGCTCCCACAGCACTCTACTGAGGGTAGCAAAGTGAGACACTCTCTCTTTCTCAAAAAAAGTATTTATATACGATAAAGTCCACAGCGGTTAAATGTGTGTAGTTCAGTGAGTTTTGGCAAATGTATAAAGTCCTTTGGCCTTTACCATCATCGAGATATTGAACATTTTCCTTGTTTCAAGGATTCCCCAGGCCCCTTGTACTTTCTTTGCCCTGTTCCACCCCCTGGTAACCATATCATACCATGTCATAAAATGAAGGCTTTTTGTGCCTGGCTTTTTTTTTTTTTTTTGGAGGGAGAGTCTCACTTTGTCACCTTCGGTAGAGTGCCATAGTGTCACACAGCTCACAGCAACCTCCAAATCCTGGGCTTAGGCGATTCTCTTGCCTCAGCCTCCTGAGTGGCTGGGGCTGGGTTTGAACCCGCCACCCTCGGTATATAGGGCTGGCGCCCTACTCACTGAGCCGTAGGTGCTGCCCTGTGCCTGGCTTTTTAAAATTAATATAATTCTTTTGGTATTATCTAGTTTGTTGCTTTTTGTTATAGAATAGTATTGTATTGTATAGATATACCACAATTTATGGATCTTTCACCAGTTAATGGACATTTGGGTTGTTTGCAGTTTAAAGCTTTTAAAAGTAAAGCTGCTATAAACATTCATGAACAGCTCTTTGTGTGAGACCCATTTGTGCACTTCTCTTGAGGCAGTACCTAGGAGTGAGATTAAATTCCTACAGCAAAGTACATTTCAGTTGTTCTTCATCAGCAGTGTCTGTGTGTTCATTTGTATCCGTATATTGGTGTCTGTTAAATCCTTTATGGTTACTGGATTGTAAGTGTATCTGAGCATAAACACTTTATCAGATTTATGATTTGTATTTTTTGAGACCAGAGTCTCACTGTGTCACCCTCCATAGAGTGCTGTGGCATCACAACTCACAGCAATCTCAAACTCTTGAGCTCAAGCACTTCTCTTGCTTCAGCCTCCCAAATAGCTGGGACTACAGGCGCCCACTACAATGTCTGGCTATTTTTTTGTTTTGTTTTGTTGTTGTTGCGATTGTCATTGTTTAGCTGGCCCAGGCCGGGTTTGAACCTGCCACCCTCAGTGCATGTGTCCTCAGTGCATATGTCCGGCCCAGTAACCACTGTGCTACGGGCACCGAACCTTTTTCAGTTTTGTTTGTTTGTTTTTGAGACTGAGTCTCACTATGTCATCCTGGGTAGAGTGCTGTAGAGTCACAGCTCACAGCAGCCTCAAACTCTTGGGCTTAAGCAATTCTCTTGCCTCAGCCTCCCAAATTGCTGGGACTACAGGCACCCGCCACAAAGCCCAGCTATTTTTTGTTGTACTTCTCATTGGAGTTAGCTGGTCTGCCAGCCTGCGTGTATGTGGCTGACGCCATAACCACTGTGCTACGAGTGCTGAGCTGCAAATACTGTTTTTTAGTGTCTGGCTTGTCTTTTCATTTTGTTTATTGTTTCCTTTTTATTGTCTTAACAGTTTCTTGCAAAGACTAGATGTGTTTAATTTCAGTGAAGTTCAGTTTCCCAGTTGTTGGGTGATGTTCTTTCTCGTGGGGAGAGAAGGACGGCTTGGCCGCGGTGCAAGCTCGCTCCTAGAATTGTTTAAAAGCAAGAAACGACTACACACTCTTAGTTGGCACGTAGCAAAATGTCTTTATTTTCTACTCCCTTTTATTGGGAGCTAGTCATGTACACCACATTGATCGATAATCCTAACATCCTCATTTCTTATCTTAAACTATAGAAAAGAAAGAAAGTCCAGGAATGTGAGATAGCCATCATAAGATTAGCCTAAAGAAAGAAAGTCCAGGAAAGTAAGACAACCATCTTAAGCTAGCCTCAGGCTATTCCTCTTGGAAGATCTAAAAGAACAATATGTTATCTGACTTCTATTGTTAAAGGTTAGGATAAACAGAGTAAAACCTTTCTCTTCTATGTACTCAATTAAATTTCCCGGAAACGGGCTTCATGACTGTTTTCTTATGGTTTTGGATACCCTGCAGTTACGATGGAGTATTTTACTGGACATCATTACAATGGAGTTTTTCTTTTTACTCACATCAACCTTTGAGTCATGTCCTCTGTACAGATGGGCCGTTTCAACCCTTATCTGACAGGCTGACTTGACTGCACAGTCGGGGTTACCTGTAGGAGGTTTTTACGCCTGGCTTGCAGGCCCCCACCGTGTTTTCCCAGGTCGCTTAGGGCCTCAACAAAAGCACATAATACTCACAAGTCTTTTCGCTCAGTTCTGGAATTAAAAGAGCAAATTTCATTTAATTTTTGTGGGGGTTTACCCCACACCCAGTTTTTTTTCCCTTAATGATTCATGCTTTTTTAGCTATTGTTCATTCCCGAAATCTGCGCTTAACATAAAGTCAAAAAGATTTTTGTCCAAATTCATTTTTCTAGAAGTTTTAATGTTTTTACATTTAGGTATATGATCCATTTTGAGTTGTTTAATAATGAGTCCTTGTTTTAAATTCTATTTGGAGTGATATTAATGTTGCTATGCCTGTTTTTCTTTTATTATATATTATATGTATTTTATCTATGTTGTAATTCTGGAAGTAAAATTGTTCAGTATATTACTGTGGTGAATTAACTTTTTTTCCTTTAGTGCCCATTTTAGAGGTCCATGTTGACCTAACTCAATTAGCTTTTCTCTTTCACTGCAGTAAGAGCGCTTCTGAGTGATTTTCCTTTTGGCTAGAAAGCAGTTCTCAGGGCCTCACTGGATAGCTATTAAATCTTCAAGAGAAAATTCTTTCCTACTCATGTATTTCAAAAGAATAATTACTCAGCTTATATCATATATACTTTTTAAACAGTTTAAAAAATGTCATTTGTTAACAGCTTTTACTAATTTTTTTTTTTTTTTTTTTATGAGACAGAGCCTCAAGCTGTCCCCCTGGGCAGAGTGCC